TCATGACAGAAATGTTAAAAGCAGGGGGGGATATAGTGTTGGAGTGGTTGGTACTTTTGTTTAATAAATGTATGAAAGAGGGGAATGTACCTAGGGATTGGCAGAGAGCATGTATAGTCCCTTTATATAAAGGGAAAGGGGACAAAAGAGATTGTAAAAATTATAGAGGAATAAGTTTATTGAGTATACCAGGAAAAGTGTACGGTAGGGTTATAATTGAAAGAATTAGAGGTAAGACAGAATGTAGGATTGCGGATGAGCAAGGAGGTTTCAGAGTGGGTAGGGGATGTGTAGATCAAGTGTTTACATTGAAGCATATATGTGAACAGTATTTAGATAAAGGTAGGGAAGTTTTTATTGCATTTATGGATTTAGAAAAGGCATATGATAGAGTGGATAGGGGAGCAATGTGGCAGATGCTGCAAGTATATGGAATAGGTGGTAAGTTACTAAATGCTGTAAAGAGTTTTTATGAGGATAGTGAGGCTCAGGATAGGGTGTGTAGAAGAGAGGGAGACTACTTCCCGGTAAAAGTAGGTCTTAGACAGGGATGTGTAATGTCACCATGGTTGTTTAATATATTTATAGATGGGGTTGTAAAAGAAGTAAATGCTAGGGTGTTCGGGAGAGGGGTGGGATTAAATTAAGGGAAATCAAATTCAAAATGGGAATTAACACAGTTACTTTTTGCTGATGATACTGTGCTTATGGGAGATTCTAAAGAAAAATTGCAAAGGTTAGTGGATGAGTTTGGGAATGTGTGTAAGGGTAGAAAGTTGAAAGTGAACATAGAAAAGAGTAAGGTGATGAGGGTATCAAATGATTTAGATAAAGAAAAATTGGATATCAAATTGGGGAGGAGGAGTATGGAAGAAGTGAATGTTTTCAGATACGTACTTGGGAGTTGACGTGTCGGCGGATGGATTTATGAAGGATGAGGTTAATCATAGAATTGATGAGGGAAAAAAGGTGAGTGGTGCATTGAGGTATATGTGGAGTCAAAAAACGTTATCTATGGAGGCAAAGAAGGGAATGTATGAAAGTATAGTAGTACCAACACTCTTATATGGGTGTGAAGCTTGGGTGGTAAATGCAGCAGCGAGGAGATGGTTGGAGGCAGTGGAGATGTCCTGTCTAAGGGCAACGTGTGGTGTAAATATTATGCAGAAAATTCGGAGAGTGGAAATTAGGAAAAGGTCTGGAGTTAATAAAAGTATTAGTCAGAGGGCAGAAGAGGGGTTGTTGAGGTGGTTTGGTCATTTAGAGAGAATGGATCAAAGTAGAATGACATGGAAAGCATATAAATCTATAGGGGAAGGAAGGCGAGGTAGGGGTCATCCTCGAAAGGGTTGGAGAGAGGGGGTAAAGGAGGTTTTGTGGGCAAGGGGCTTGGACTTCCAGCAAGCGTGCATGAGCGTGTTAGATAGGAGTGAATGGAGACGAATGGTACTTGGGACCTGACAATCTGTTGGAGTGTGAGCAGGGTAATATTTAGTGAAGGGATTCAGGGAAACCGGTTATTTTCATATAGTCGGACTTGAGTCCTGGAAATGGGAAATACAATGCCTGCACTTTAAAGGAGGAGTTTGGGTATTGGCAGTTTGGAGGGATATGTTGTGTATCTTTATACATATATGCTTCTAAACTGTTGTATTCTGAGCACCTCTACAAAAACAGTGATTATGTGTGAGTGTGGTGAAATTGTTGAATGATGATGAAAACATTTTCTTTTTGGGGATTTTCTTTCTTTTTTGGGTCACCCTGCCTCGGTGGGAGACGGCCGACTTGTTGAAAAAAAAAAAAATCTTTTTGGGGATTTTCTTTCTTTTTGTGTCACCCTGCCTCGGTGGGAGATGGCCTACTCGTTGGAAAAAAATACACACATGTAAAAATAGGGAAATCAACAGCTGTTGCTCTTCCTAATTACTTGCGTATTCTTAGATGTTCCATTAGATGACAGACAAAGAAGGGAAGCACTCGTAAAGAGATGCAGTCTGTTGAAACCAGTGAAGTCAGTAGGCAGCAATAAAGCACAGCACACCCCAGGGGTCTATGTGTAAGGAGAGACTAACACAACCAGACAAGTGAGTCAAGTGAAGTAGTGGAAGAAAATATAGAAAAAAGAAGACCGAAATAGCATTAGCTGTAAAGTTCCAGGTGATTTGTAGATAGAAGAAAAGATGGTGTTTACAGGTGGAAGGAGGAACTTGTATACAAGGCAGCTAACAGGGCAGTAGCCTATATATTATTTTAGTCAAAAAGCATTAAATATTAGTGAGCTCCATAAAAGCATGATACTCTTTAGTGTGTCTATATTGGATACATCTTCAACCACATTTAGAAAGGGCATAGTCGTGGGTGACAGACAGGAATAGACAAGTGCAAGAAGCAATGACAGCATGTCTCTCAGTGCAAAGCAAGGGTAGACAGAGGGTGTGCTCTACTTCATAGGTGTTGATGGAGGGTGAGGATAAGATGACTTCTGCCCCAATGTAGTGCTGAAGACACATTAACCTGTTCACAATGGTAGTGGCAGGGGGCATGTTGACATCTGATGTCATAATGATAGTGTTAGCCTAAGAGGTCTGGGAAGCATTAATGGCTTTAGATAAAATAAAAAGCATAGAAGGTGTGCTTGAAGAAACTAGTAATGGTTGTGCACTGGGATAGAGGAATCATTGAGTGCAATGACAAGGTCAGGATGACGAGCCACTGAAGAACATGAGATAGATTGAAGGCATTCTTGCTGACGAAGATGAACAAAGAGCCATACTTCCCCTCCCCCCCTCTATCAGATAGTCTCGTGCAAAACAGTCCAGTTAGCAGGATAGCCAACCTACTAGATAGACCAATGAGGGGACAGAGTTGCAGGAGTAATTTTGACTGTAGTGGTGAGTATAAGCAGATTGGACAAATATCTCCATTCAAAAGTCAATAATCCCTTGAAGCTCAAGATAACAGATGTCTCCTCCATATTCCTAAAAAACTGTGTAAAGAAGACCACCTGAAGGAGAATGCCTTTATGCCTTTTCTTCAGACCCAATTCAATTGGGCATGGTGCCTGACAGTGATAATGTGTCAGTCACCACTTGAAGTTGGGAAACCATCAGCTTTGCAACTCCCTCTACATGTACAATGGAAACTTGGTCATATTAAATATGAAAAGTGATTTCACAGCTAACCAATGACAAGAGCAAGGGAAAATTTGCCCTCAAACCGTTTATCAGCTAAACTTGCTTGGAGTGCAAAAACTGCGTTTGTCTCAGAGTGGACAGCAGACTCTAAAGGCAGTTGAATCCTATGAGGAGGCTTCTTTGGGAGAATCTGACAAGATATAGGTGAAGATAAGCAGATAAGCCTACTGGACCAACCTACTGGACTTTCACCAGGCCAGTGTGTCAGCCACTGAGCCAGCTGGCTACAATAAGATTCATCCATATGGAGGTTAGCATGGGCTCCACTGGCCTGGAGTTTTATGACTCACTTCCCATGGGTTCTACCTCACCTATACTGTGGTTTGTTTTTTTCTATGGTTCAGATGCCTCTCCAAGCTGCCAAATATCCCCATCCCTCCTTCAGAATGCAGGCACTGTACTTCCCACCTCCAGGACTCAAGCTCAGCTAACCATTTTCCCTGAATCCCTTCATAAATGTTGTGTTCTAGGTGGATAATATCTAATGAAAGATAATCTGATGTTAGCTTAAAAAGATGTGTGCATATCGCAAATCTTTCTTCATAGGTTAACTCAAGTCTTTTAATATTTTCCCCATTTTTACTAGAGTTTTACAACTGAAAGAATAGTTATGCTACATCATAATAAGGTAGTCTTAGGTACTTAGTGTAACCAGCTAGTTGTGTCTGGAGAATGTTGAATCACAATAGCTGGCCCAACCTCTTGATTCTTTATCAATCAGCTTTGCTGATTTCCTGGGTTTCCAAGACTGTCAAAAACTTGCAAAACTTTCTTCTACAAAAGGAATATAGTGTATTGGTTATGCTACTCTCCAGAATCAGAAATTAATGATCATTATTTGACATCCTTCAAACAAAATTTTCATTCCTCTTTGACAAAGGTGGCAGCTGTTATTTCTTCTTTCTGCATTTATTTGGTAGTGCCAACTTCACCTTCCTTCTCTCTTCTGTTTACCTCCTTTCCTTTACTATCTTCTCTTACTATTGTTTATGTAACTCCATTCTCACTATTTGATTTTTTCCCTTTTTCTCCTGTGGCTTGATGCCAATTATCTTTCTCCATTTTCTCCACATTTTCTTTCACCAGTCCTTCGTACTTCTTAAGTCTGTTTTCCATCTTGCCAAATTTTCCCAATGACTCAATAGTTTCAGAACCTAATGAGAAGAAACTGTAAAAGTGTGTGTGTGGCCCCTGTATTCGAAGATCTTCGGAGTCATCCTGACAATGGCAGCACCAATATATCTGGAGATAAGTTTGGCCAATGTCAATGTGCATGTTACAGTCCTACATTATCTGCTTACCATTTGGAGGTTTCTGGCTGCTGTTAGGTCTACAAAAGTATGGTGTCCTTTGCACTACGTCAAGGTTTCTCATACTGCTGACCTCTACATCAACTAGGGCCATGGAGGCCAAAATGGTTTGACAGTTTACTGCTGTAGGTATACCTGTGTCATGTGAAAATAAGGGTAGTTAGGCGAAAGGATACACCAATGCAAATGCCTGAGTGTTAAAACGGGTACCCAAAGAAGAATTGGGGATAACCAATAGGAAATCCCTGGAAAATGACTCTCACTGGTAGAAGGATGGCTTTGCCTTTCACAAAAATACTTTTAACCATTGCAGAAGCTATATTCTCTTCTATCCAACTGTTCCAGGGTACTAACTTGTAATTTTTAGGAGATGCTGGTCTGTTTAAAGAGGCTGCAAGGGTATTCAACTAAATTAAGCATTGCAAAATAATCACATGATAAATGGATATCTGTATATACTTAATATTAAATATTAAAAGGTGGAAACAAAAAAATATACTTTTAATTATAATAAATTTATGTCTTAATGCTAGATGGTTCAATACAAAACAAGTTAAATTATGACAAAAATGGGTTTAAGAATCTGCAGTTCAATGCAATATTTGTTGAATTATACAGCATAAATACAAATTTTATTTACCATCCAAACCAAAATATTCCACTTACACAATATACAAATTTATTTTTACAGTCACAATGCCACTTTTTACAACAGACAAAAAGCTCTTGATGTTTCCAGCAACTGTCAATAACTGCAAGTGCTTTAACTTCATATTTTACTGGTAACTAGTTTGCTTTTTAGATGCTTAACTTTTAATTGATATAATTTCAATATCACTATAATTCCACAGCATTTGTGTTTCAGATTATTATCTGATTTTATTAAGTGATGTATATGAACTATGATATTACGTCATTTAGTTGAAATGCTGTGATGTTATCACTTGGTCAAGAGTTGCTATCCAGGTGGATTATAGTGGAAATGCTATCAAGGGTTGGCTTAGTGAACCACAAGTGGATTCCCATCTAACTCATATGTACAAGAGAAGCCAACTAGCTTAAGAACTTTTTTTTTGTATAAATAATGATTTAACTTACCTAGCAATACCATTATCGTTTACCTGTAATAAGAGAGGAATGCAAATTACTAAATGGCAAGTTCATGAAAATATTTTGATAAAAGTTATGCTATTGTACAAGTCTTCAACCAGACTGGCTGAAAATTGTGGGAGACGGCCAACGTGTAAAAAAAAAAAAATGTAATAAAAATATTAATCCTGTATAGCAGAAAATGGTGACTAAATTAATGATGAAGTTGATAGTTTGGCACAAATTTTACATTACAGAACTGTATTGCATTTTTTTGCATCCATATTTGCTAACTTGAATCATGATTGTTAACACTACCATTACTTGCCAATTGCAAAAACATTGTTAATCTATCAATATCTGTGGTCACAAGGTGCTAATAACATCAATACAGAAAATAATTATTAACACTGCTATATTATCTACTTGTAACTTAATTGTGAGTTAGGAGAACAAATCACACTGAATACACAGCAATAATAAATTAATAAGAGTCTAATAAAAGACATGAACCTTAAGGTTGGGGGAATTCTCAATAATTTCAAATGTTACCCCAAGAATTACTGATATATGAGTGTGTTTTTTTAACACACTGGCTGTCTCTCACAACAGTAGAGTGACCTAAAACAATGAGGAAACATATTAACTGTTTGAATCATTCAGTGTCTTGCCATAAGTGCTGACATCACAGTTCAGATGACCCTCTGAACTGTAGCAGCCTTACCTCTAGTTCAGAGTGTAGGCACTATACTTCCTACCAGGACCCAAGTCTAGCTAACGAGTCTCCTTTAAGGGGCACGCAAGTTTCCCCTGTCTTCTAATAACATGTTCATTTTTTCCACTATAATCTACCATGTCCATAATTGCTATTGCATTTGCAATGTCCGTTTCATAAGGTGGAGTCTAGCTATACCATGAATTAAGGAAAGATCCTTACGAAACAGACAAAGCAAATGTGATAGAAATTATGGACAAGGTAGATTATAGTGGAAAAATGAACATGTTATTAGAAGATGGGGAAACTTACGTACCCCTTAATGTTTTCATAAATGTTACCTTGCTCACACTCCAACAGAATAAAAAAATCATAAATACCACTTATCTTTATCATTAAGTATTGATAGATGGCCACAGTTTTGGACAGGAATAAATGTTAAAGTTTATCACACACAAATGTCCCCTCACTTCATGCAGGTTTATTTATAAGAATTTATCATCATGTGATGTTCCATTTCTAGTGATAATTTTGCACATGTGATACACATTCTCAATGTAATGCAGTCTGATAAACGTACTGAAAATTCCTGTGATTCATGAAATTATAATAACACGATTGCAAACAAATTACAGAGCAGGTGGTACTTGAACCCATGGTAGATAACTGCTAAAACTCAGAGGCCAATGTGCTAACCACTGGACTAGCTGGATCTAGTACAACTCACCACAGCCATGTTTGTGTAGGATTTATCTGTATACACCTGCATTTGTGGTCAGTGGGGGGCCCCGTGCCTCCCTATGATATACTGTATAGAAATGAATCCTATTAGAGTCAGCTAGTCCAGTGGTTAACACACTGGCCTGTGAGTTTTAGGACTTATTTGCCACTGGTTTGAGCACCCCCTTTTCTATGATAAGATTCTCACTTTGCTGAGTTAAATGCTGATGGCCAGGAAGGCCTTAGTACAGATGCCATGGGCTTGGAATGCATCTATTCTGTAAAGTGAGGGGGGACAGCTGAATACAGTATATTGTACATATTGGTAGCATATATGAAGGCTTGGGCATCCAACAAGCTTGTGTGAGAATGAGAGTGGAAGGCAAGTGGATTTTATGGTTTGACGTCCTGGAGTAAGAGCAAGACAACACTAGGGAAACCAGTTAGCTGGATGTGAGTCCTGAAGCTGGGAAGTACAGTGTCTGCACTCTGAAGGAGAGGTGAGGAAGCTGCAGTTCGGAAGGTTCTCTGAGCTGCGATGTTGGTATGCTTCTGGCAAGACAATGAATGAATGATGGTGAAAAAAGTGTTTCTTCTGCTTTTTAACATGCTGGTCATCCCCCACTGAGGCAGGGTGACCCAAAAAAAGAAACCCTTTCATCATCATTCACACATTGTCTTTCCAGAGGCATGCAGAATCGACAGTTCAGAAGTCACTCCAAAAAGCAGGTATCTCAAACCCTTCCTTTAAAGTGCAGGCATTGTACTTCCCACCTCCAGGACTTAAGTCCAGCTAACCAGTTTCCCTGAATTCCTTCACACTCCAACAGCTCATCAAGTCCCAAAAACCATTCATCTCCACTCACCCCTATCTACCATGCTCACACATGCCTGCTCTATGTCCAACCCTCTTACACACAAAAACCTCTTTTACCCCCCCCCCTACATCCTTTCCTAGGATGACCCCTACCCCTCCTCCACTCAACTACAGATTTATACACCCTCCAAGTCATCCTATTTTGCTCCATCTTCTCTAAATGACCAAACCATCTCAACAACCTCTCCTCAGCCCTCTGAATAATACTTTTTTTAACTCCACACCTCCTCCACACTATGAATTCTCTGCATAATATTTACATTACACATTGCCCTTAAACACATTCCCACTGCCTCCTTGCTGAAGCATTTACAACTCATGCTTCACACCCTTCTTTACCTCCAGGGATAATGCTCTTTGTCTCCACAGATACCTCAATGCACCACCCTTTTTTCCTTCATCAATTTTATGGCTAGCCTCATCCTTCATAAGCCCATCCACTGATAAATCTACTCCCAAATCTCTGAACAAATTCACTTCTTCCATACTCCCTCCCTCCAATCTGATATCCAATTTTTCTTTACCAAACTTGTTTGATACCCTCATCATCTTATTCAATCTATGTTCACTTCCAACTTGCTTCCTTTACACAAACTTTCAAACTTGACCGTTAACCTTTGCAACTTCTCTTCAGAATCTCCTAAAAGCACAGTATCATCATCAAAAAATTAGTGTCAACCCCCATTTTGCATTGAATCCCAATAATTTAATCCCACCCCTCTCCCCAAAATTAGACAATAAAATCTTGAGAATTACAAAGCACTCAAATGTGGATGTTCAACTGCATGTTGTTGCAAATAAACACAAGAAGGGAAGTAGAAACAATGAAACAGGCAAAGCTAAATAAAGCCCAAGGAAAAATCAAAGGATAGGAAAACCACTTTCATAATGTATGGTAATAGGACAAAACCTTTTAAGTTTTTGACCACACAGGAGCTTTACAAAGTCAATACATGGTACATGCAACATGACAATATACAGAAGGTGAGATAAAGGTAGGTGTCAGGTAATGGATGACAGGTTGCAGGTCATCTGCAATGCTAAATGCCACTTGGTTCTGTTTGATAGTGCTGAAAGTCTGCATGTGTGCAGACTTTAAACACCATCTTCTTGCTCTGTATTTCTTCTTTGACATTCATTTCAACCTTTACCCAATCAATTAATAGTCCCTGATTTTCCTTATGAATAACATGAGTGTTTTTGTCGCTGTTTGTCTTGTAGGCATATTTATGGTCAATAACTCTTGTGTGAACTCTTTCTAGTTTCATCAAGGAATGCTTTATCACACCTACCAATGAAGTTCTGTAGATGCCTGCTTCAATATTGGTGGGTGTGACAAAGCAAGACATTAGTGAGACTGCACAAAGCCTACAAGACAAAAATATTTCCTTTGCAAGGGTAAAAAACAGGCACAACTAATGGACTAGACAAAGACCAAAATGATTATCAAAGAAGTAAAGATGATATTTAGAGATTGCACACATACAGATTTGTCATCAAAAAGAATGAAGGAGCATTTGGCACTGCAAAATCTAACTAAACTCACCTTGAAAAATCTCCAGTACACTTTGTGCAAGTGACCCAGCAACTTGACATCACCACTCTGACATCCATTACCTGTCTATGCTTATGTTTAAGTCACTTTTTTTTATTATGTATTATCAGTTGCATGTTCCACGTATTGATCGACACAGTGGACCTGTGTGGGTGAAATGGTCTTTAAAGCTTTTGCCTGCACTTACTGTCCTATTACCAGGTTATGACTTGTTGGTAATCCTGCCATCCACATAACATTTATAATGCTGGGAGAAATAAAAGCAGACTATCAAGTAATTCTGCAGTATGAGCATTAAAAAACTTTCAGAAGGTGAAAGGGTATTTCTCTGTTTCTTTATATTAGCATTTGTATGGAATATGAAGTTTTAAACCCTTCCACTACCCAAACTAGGTTTGTTGAATACTGACAAATAAAAAACTCACCTAAAATCACTAAGTTGGCAATTTTGTTCTTTTTCGAGCAATTGCGTCTTCGACTGCACGAAGTTGCTTCAAAAGTTCTTCTCGTCGATTTGCTTGTGGTTTCTTTACTGGTTGTGAAATGGTAACCACAGCAGGAGGGCTTCTGGCTACCATCTGAAGGGAGAGAATTAATTTTAGAAAACTCGTGAACAAGTGATATATCACTTAAAGATCTTGAAAGTATGAGAGACTGCTTCACTTCCAAAATTTTTCTAAATATAATTACAAATTGAGCTAGATATTACTATTAAACTAGATATTAATATTAACTTAAATATTAAGGCAACTGCTGAAGAGTAACTGAAACAACCCCACCCCTCATCCCTTTTACTAGGTGACATGTTTATCAGAAAAATCCCTTCCAAGAAAAAATCTAAGAGCATAAATAAAATTTAAAATTAATATACAATGGACCCCCGGTTCGCGAAGTCATCGGTATCCGATAAATCTGGTATCCGAAGCATTATATCGCAAAAAATTTGCCTCGGTTCCCGTTACGAAACCCGATATGTGATATGATTCGCATGAGACATGTCCACGTGTGGCCTGAACTGCCCTGTGTGTGCCAGTTTTTACAAGCCAGCCAGTGTGCGCGCATCTAAGGATACATTCGGTACATTCCATATTATCCATATTATCACTGTTTTTGGTGCTTGTTTCTGCAAAATAAGTCACCATGGGCCCCAAGAAAGCTTCTAGTGCCAACCCATCGAGACCAAGGGTGCTAATGACTATTGAAATGAAGAAAAAGATAATTGAAAAGTATGAGAGTGGAGTGCGTGTGTCGGATCTGGCCAAGTTGTATAGTAAATCCCAATCAACCATCTCTACTATAGTGAGCAGGAAAACGGCAATCAAGGAAGCTGTTCTTGCAAAAGGTGCAACTATGATTACAAAACAGTGATTGCAAGTGTTAGAAAATGTTGAGAGACTGTTATTGGTGTGGATAAATAAATGAAAAACAGACAGCTGGAGATAGCATCTCTCAAGCGATCATTTGTGAAAAGGCTAGGCAGTTGCATGAGGATTTAATTAGAAAAATGCCTGCAACTAGTGGTGATGTGAGTGAATTTAAGGCCAGCAAAGGTTGGTTTGAAAGATTTAAGAATTGTAGTGGCATACATAGTGTGATTAGGCATGGTGAGGCTGCCTGTTCAGACCAAAAAACAGCTGAAAAATATATGCATGAATTCAAGGAGTACATAGAGGCTGAAGGATTGAAACCTGAACAAGTGTTTTAATTGTGACGAAACAGGCCTGTTTTGGAAGAAATTGCCAAGCAGGACTTATATTACTCAGGAGGAAAAGGCACTCCCAGGACTTACTCTGTTGATGCGTGCCAATGCTAGTGGTGATTGCAAAGTGAAGCCTTTATTGGTGTATCACTCAGAAACTCCCAGAGCGTTCAGGCAAAAGAATATCCTCAAGGCTAATTTGTGTGTGCTGTGGAGGGCAAACATTAAGGCATGGGTCACTAGGGACTTTTTCTATGACTGGTTACACCATGCATTTGCCCCCAATGTGAAAAATTACCTAATTGAAAAGAAATTAGACCTTAAGTGCCTCCTGGTGTTAGACAATGCCCCTAGTCATCCTACAGACTTGGCAGAGCGACTTTGTGGGGACATGAGCTTCATTACGGTCAAGTTTTTGCCTCCTAATACCACTCCTCTCCTGCAGCCCATGGACCAGCAGGTCATTTCCAACTTCAAGAAACTGTACACAAAAGCTATGTTTGAAAGGTGCTTTGAAGTGACCACAGATACTCTACTGACTCTAAAGAAGTTTTGGAAGGATCACTTTAATATCCCCAATTGTGTAAACCTTATAGGTAAGACTTGGGAGGGAGTGACTAAGAGGACCTTGAACTCTGCTTGGAAGAAACTGTGGCCAGAATGTGTAGACAAAAGGGATTTTGAAGGGTTTGAGGCTAACCCTGGGAATCCTATGCCAGTTGAGGAATCCATTGTGGCATTGGGAAAGTCCTTGGGGTTGGAGGTTAGTGGGGAGGATGTGGAAGAGTTGGTGGAGGAGGACAATGACGAACTAACCACTGATGAGCTGCTAGATCATCTTCAACAGCAAGAGGCCAGGCCTGAGGAAACTGCTTCGGAGGAGGGGATAGAGAAATTGACGAAGTTGCCTACTTCAAAGATTAAGGAAATGTGTGCAAAGTGGCTTGAAGTGCAAACCTTTTTTGATGAAAATCACCCTGACACAGCTACATTGTCAGTGTACAGGTTGCCAACACGGCAACCAGTACACTGACAATGTTGTGAACCACTTTAGGAAAGTCATAAAGGAACGAGAGGTACAGGTCTCTATGGACAGATATGTTGTGCGACAGAAGTCCAGTGACTCTCAAGCTGGTCCTAGTGGCATTAAATGAAGAAGGGAAGTAACCCCAGAAAAGGACTTGCTACCTCAAGTCCTAATGGAGAGGGATTCCCCTTCTAAACATTAAAAACTTCAACACTCTCCCCTCCTCCCATCCCATCAATCATCACCAGATCTTCATTAAAGGTAAGTGTCAATTATTCTATTGTGATTATTCTATTATTATAATTATTCTATTGCATTAAACTTAATATTTCATGTGGTAAAAGTTTTTTTTTTTATACTTTTGGGTGTCTTGCACGGATTAATTTGATTTCCATTATTTCTTATGGGGAAAATTGATTCGCTTTCCGATAATTTTGCTTTACAATGAGCTCTCAGGAACGGATTAATAACGTGAACCGGGGGTCCACTGTATAGTATAATGACAAGTTGGACCCTAAAACCTTATCAAAATTATAAAAGATTTAAGCCTACTATTGTATATTTCAATACAGCACAGGTACTATACAGTAGATGATTAGCTATATTTGTCCAATCTCTTTTTAAAGCTACCCAGGGTCCTAGCCTCTATCACCCTACTCAGAAGACTGTTACATGCAGGTTCAGATCCAACCTACCCAGCATTCTCATAGTGTGCACTCAGTGTGCGTACTATGAAAAAAATCGGGGACACTGGGGTACTGCGTGGTAGCACCAGTTAGTTTCAGCTCCATCTTGGATCAACATCATGGCAAACCCCCGTGAGTCACTGATGCCTCATTGTATTAACACCCTACTATTCTCAGAAAGTGATACAGAACGCGAGTTTAGTGGTTTCGACTCCGATATAGCCACTAAAGGTCAAGGAATTAGTGAAACTTTTGTTGATAACCCAGATGACCCTCAGGCCATGACCTCTGGGGTGGCCAGTATGGATAATGTGGACAGTGTGGCCATACCAGACCCTCAGCCCAGCACTTCTGAGGTGACCAGTGTGGCCCCAATAGGCCCTCAGCCCATGACCTCTGGGGTGGCCAGTGTGGATAGTGTGGACAGTGTGTGCCATACCAGACCCTCAGCCCAGCACCTCTAAGGTGGCCAGTGTGGCCACAACAGACCCTCAGCCCAGCACCTCTGGGGTTGCTAGTGTTACTTCCCAAAGGCAACTCGGCAAGAGGAAATTATCATTTCCCATGCGCTTTGGTGATGACGATAGTGAAAGTGATATAAGTGACGATGATGAAATCAACATTATGCCGACAGATGATTCGTCAAGTAAAAGTGATTATCGTTATTTCCCAGTGAAACGTACTTTTAGGCATCGTAACCTATGTTCAAGCAGTGTGCCATATGTAGTCGGTGGCAAGGATCGTGGCATGTCACGATCCAAAACCCCAGCCACTGATAGTGATAGTAATAGTAATAATGAAGATCATGGATGGAGGAAGAAGGGGGTGGCATGGTACCTGGACCTCGTGGTGCAGTGGGTGGGCAGGCAAAGGACTGCTCGGCACCCTCTCAACCATGTGCTGCCTCCACTTCTGTCCCCCCTCCTGCCCCCCCACACCCCATGCCACAGGTCCACCCTGCACCATCTGATCGTGAATGGAACTGGACAGAAAGTACACCATTTGTGCCACATCCTTTCAATTTTGATGCCAGTGGAAGTGGCATCATGCCACACTGTCCCCTCACAAATGAGTCTACAGAGTTAAACTATTTTCAACCATACTTTGATGAGCCAATAATGAACCTAATTGTTACCCAGACCAACATGTACTACCAGTATACAATGGACCACACAGATGTTTCAGAGTCTTCACGGCTGCGCAGGTGGAAAGATACAACTGTGGCTGAAATGTATTTATTCCTTGGCACTGTCATGCATATGCCACACACATATAAGAACAATATAGCACACTACTGGTCCACAGACCACTTCATCAGTACTCCAGTCTTCCATGACCTCCTTCCCTGTAACAGATTCACTCTGTTGCTATGAATGTTGCACTTCTCAGACAGGAATATGCCAAACAGAAATGACCTCTTATACAAAATCCGAGAATTGTTTATGTATCTGAAGCAAAAATTCAGTGCCTACTTTTATCCATTCAAGAACATTGTTGTCGATGAGTCCTTGGTTCTGTTCAAGGGACGACTGTCATTCAAACAATATATACCAAGCAAACATTATCATTTTGGTATAAAACTCTTTGTTATGTGTGACTGTGAGACTGGTCTTGTGTTGGATGTCATTATCCACACAGGGAAAAATACACTTGGCAATACCAGGCACATGTTGGGCATTTCTGGGGATGTTGTTCGCAAGATGGCAAAGGTCATACATTGTTCACAGACAATTGGTATACAAGCCCTATGCTCGCAGGGCTTGTATATCAAATGATATATGTGGAACAGTGAGAAGAAGTAGAAAACACATGCCAAGGTTCACTGGAGGAAGTCTAGTAGAAGCGTTTCATGCCAATGACATCTTGGCACTGACGTGGTATGACAAACAGGACGTGACGTTGCTGTCAACCATCCACAGAAACGAGATGGTACTAACAGACAGACTGAGCAGGTTCAACAATGAACCTATTGTAAAGCCAGCTGCTGTCATCAACTATACGAACAATATGTGACTAGTCAACAAGTGTGACATGATGATAGGGTTTGTTGACTGTGTGCATAGGAGTCGCAAGTGGTATATAAAAGTTTTTTCCACCTTGTAGACATTGCAATGCTCAATGCCTCTCAGAAAAATTGTGTTGTGTGTGCTTAAACTAAACAG